TGGAGATGGGGACGCTTGAGTCAAAACTGATGGTGTCGAAGAGACACGGCTGGAGGGGATAAAGCCACCGGAGTTGGTGATACGGGTGATCGGGATTCGTGTAGTCGAAGTACGCTTGGAGGCCCTCCAACGTCGTACGGGTGATGACGCTACCTACAGGTTTCGGTAGTGTCATGCTCAGAAGACGCTCGAAACACTTCTTGGCACCCGCATCGGTGAACGCCATGTCCAGATACAGAAGAACCCACGGTGGCAAGGTGGATGAAGCCGGCACGGTGGGGCGAGCACCAGGCAACACGCGGTGAGGCAACGGCTCAACCGACGGTGCGCCGCCACGACGCGGCACCGAAGTGTAGGTGGTCGTAATCTGGCGCCCAGCCTAGCATTGAGAGTTTGAGAAAACGGGCGTGGAGACGCCGGGGCAGAGGGAAAAGATGGTGGCGCTTGTGAACTTGGCGATGACGGAGGAGGCAGACCACCGATTAGGATCGGAGAGGTCTTCATCGGCGAAGGACCTGGCCGAGGAGTGGTCGGAGGCCGAGCAGGGCCAAGACCGCTCCAGTTGCCGTCGGAATCTTCAACGCCGTCGCCGTCAGCTGGACTTGAATGCTCGGTGGGTGGTGAAACATCACTGCCACCACTTGTATCACCAGGAGAATTATCCACCGAAAGCTCATCATCATCCACGTCATCTCCACGACCATCATCACCATTGCCATCGTCATCAATCTCCATTGGAAAATAAGTCGAAGGGACGCTTGGTGCGGCAGCCGTTGGAATAGTCGGAGCCGGCTTTGAAGACTCGAGGGATTGTGGAGCAGCTTCAACAGGGGCAAGCCCTGCCGTAGAAACCACTCCCGAGACTGCAACCGTCTTAGAAGTCGCAGTAGACGACGAAGCAACAATGCCTGACGGGACAGAGTTATTCAACTCATCCTCTTCGTCATCCGAGTCGAACATGAGCCAGAAATAGTCTGCCTCACGCAAGGCCTCTTCGGCAGCGCGTATATCCGCTGTTGAAGGAGAGATCGTCGACATTGATGGTTTGACCACGTCGGAGGCACCCTGACGTGGAGACGAAGGCACGCCAGAAAGTTCGGAGTATTCATCGTGAGCCCCAGAGGTCACATCTTTAATCGAAGATTCAGTGGCGGTACCTTGAGCCGACGGGACCCCACTTGAGCCAACGTCAACCGTTTCCACGTCACTCTGGTCACCGCTGAGGTCCACAACGGCGGGGGTCGGCTGACGCGATGTTGGAGAACGCGATTCAGTAAAAGGTGACGCTGGCTTGCGAGGTGGCGACCATGAACGAGGAGACGACGCCACAGACTGCGACCGAGTCTTCGAATGACGCTGGGGCGACTTGCCAGGAGAACGAAGGTGCGTCTTCTGACATTTCTTCTGAGCCGCTTGCTTCCACGCCTTCGGGCTAAACAGTGAACGGCGTGCAGACTTGGGGGTTGAAGGGTCGGCAGGTGGCGCATCACCGAGACTGGCAGTTGCCATAGATGTACTGGCCTTGTCAGTCGGGATGGGAGCCTTATCTTCGTCGGAATCGTCCGACTCCTAATCCGACGCCTTGTCACCTGGTCGAAGACGCTTGTGAAGCTTTCCATGAGATACGTGGTGAGCAGCCTGCACCAAAGCTGCAGGAAGAGTCTGAGGATCAGGCGACGACGCGGCAGCAGACTGTATGCGCTGCAAAGCAACCAACGTCTCCTGGTCAAGAGCATCCAGATCCGGTTCACCCGCGGTGAGACCTGTCACAAGAGATTGTGAACGAGCGTTAGTGGCAGAACCCACAAAGGAAAGAACAATATGTGGAAAGTACCATCAACAGCCAGACGCAGGACCTCTGGATCCACCCCGGCCAAACTCACGTGTGCACAGAGAGTACGTTTGACTTGGAGAAGGTGGGTGTTGCGGGCTTGCTGATTCTCAAAAACCTTGAGCGTGCCGTTTTCAATATATTTTCCCTTGAAAAGCTTGACCAAGAGGAGATGAAATTGACGAGTCTGCTCGGTGATCGCGCCAATGGAATACTTGTACACCTCGCGTTCTCGGGCCAGCTTCTTGTTCAAGGTGGTGATGAACGCGTCCCGCGCTTGGACCTCGCAGTGCAGACGTTTCAGCTCCTCAGAATGTCGCTCCATAGAAGATTGTACACTCGCAAGCATGGCATCGTTCTTGGCGTTGGACTCACGAAGAATCTTGACGTCCATGCGAAGAGCTTCGTCTTCAGCGTTAGCAGCCTTCAGATACGCCTCCGCGTTCTCTCGAGCCATAATTTCATGCGCCACCGAACGTACGGCGGCAGCAGCCTCGATCTGGGCGGCCCACAACTTACCCTCCAGGCTGACAACTCGGTCGGGCAAGACCGTTCGCGCTCCTGGAAGAGGCTGTACGACAGAAAGAACATCGTCGAAGCCCAAAACAGTCTTGAGACGACGTTGAGTGCGGACATCGCCATGAAGAGGAGGCGCAACGCTGAGCTGCACTTGATGGCGAGCCATCGCGGTCAAGTACGGAATAATTGACGTCATCATGTGATCAACCGACGCTTCCGTAGGTTCGCGGAAGACTCCGCGAACCTTAGAAGGCACGTTCACCGTCTGGGACAAGGCGCGAGCTGTTAAAGATGCTCATGCGACGGTGCAGACGACGCTTGGCGTGCAACAAGATCCATAACGGATCATTGTTCACTTGACATTTGTATACTTGATTAGGACTTCTTATTAAGAATAGACCCGAAAGGGTAAACATAAATACAGAACAGAATTTCCACTCAAGCACACAGAGCGACGTCCGGCTTCAAGGTAAGCGTCTGGTCAAGCTTCCTTGGGTGTGGTATGCCTGTCGGTGAACTCGAAGCTCTGTAGCGAGGGTTCATCCGACTAGGCCAAGAGACTGTGTGTGTAGTGTCTGATTACTATCGGAAGATTTATGTGACGGCTTATTGCTGCCTATTTTCACGACTGGGATACATCCCTGTTATTCTTCCAACCGAGTGTAGAGCACTCATTGCCCTCGTAAAAGGTTTACCCGTGGCTGGTACCCTTCCGCTGTTAGTACCGGACGGTACATGGCGTCGATGGGAGGCACCTGCACCACGGTACACGGTGTCGATGAAGGACACCTACGCGCCGTTGGTATGACGACCAAGACGCGAAGAGACCGTGGCAGAAGCTCTACCCGCAAGGATGGATCCTTGCTGGAGCCAAAGTCATGGTCTGAGATGAGCTGAGAGCTTCCTCTACTGCTGGAGCAAGTGTTGCCTATCTCGGTGTCGTCCCTCGCGGGAGACACCATGCTCCGGACGCGTTCGCGAAGACTGTCGTGTCCTCTGGTGCGAACTGTGGTCGAATGCCACACGTTCGGATGCTATTGCACCCTGTGCCAAAGCACTGTACGCGCGCTAGCGCATGAGCTAAAGCAGCTCTGAGTATAGGTTTTGCGGTCAACACAGTTGTGAGCATAGGGATGCAAATCCCAGTGAGCTTTGGAAGCACAAGTTACTGTGGGTGTGACTGAGAGCCGCGCCAGTCTCGTGACTGCTCAGTGTGAGAATTCACCTTTTGGTGTTCTAATATTCTCACTTCTGATTGGAGAATCAGTTGTGATTGGAGAATCAGGTGATTCTCAGTTAAGTGGGGGAGGATGTAACGGGGTACAATCCAGTGTGCCCCATGTTACATAAATAGTGACCCGTCACTCTTGTGGACACCTGGTACACGGTACCAGGTGCCCTGGAGTCAGTCAGGGCATGACTACTTAGCTCCACTATAGGTAACCTCTAGTTTGTATGGAACCCAAGCTAATCTTACTTATAAATACATTAGTCTTACATCTACTCCTCTAAGTAGCAAACTGTTCCGTTTGAGGCCGGGAACACGTAGTAAATACCCTTATGCACTTCCTCTGTGCAAGGTGCTTTGTGACGCCGTCATACTTCGGGATATTTGGTACAAGGTACCAAGGTCGTCCAAAGCCAACCATTGGCTGATGACATTGCTTATCTATAGGTGACTTATAGTTTGTATTTAACTCAAGCTTTATCTACCTATAAATATACTCAGTTTACATTCTACCTTAAATTGGTCACTTCGCTCCCTTAGGCAAAAGGGGACCTGTGAACTTTTGTTCACTGAGAGTATGTGTACTCTCGGAAGCCTACTTCCTCTAGCGCAAGGTGGTGTGTGACCCCGTCACAGCTACCACCGCAATAAGCAACCACAGTGATGCGGACTCGGGGGTCACACAAAAGTCGCTGTAGGTGGGTGTACGTAGAAACTTGATATGCTATTACTGTAATAGTATATTTTACTTTTTTTTTGTTACCTATGTGACACGTAGATTCGAATCTCTCTGGTTGTTTTGTTCGTTTTCTACATGTAGTTGTTTCTTAAGCTGTCAATTTATTAAAGTGACTTGCTTTTTACTTAGCTTCTTCGGAGATTTAATGACCAACGCCGTTGATTGAGTTGGCGACTGAATGAAGCCCTGTATCCGGATATCTTAAATATAGCCGGAATTCAATTGGTTCGCTTTTCTAGCAAACGTTAGCACAGTAGTACCTCTATTAATAGTCATGACATCGCTTCACGGCCAAGTTTCCCAAGACGAGCATACGTTGGTAACGACGCGATGCCCAGTTTCAAACTGGCAGTTTGTGGAGGAGGCAGTCAGACGTGACGGCACACCTTTGTTGTTCGCACCGCGTTTACAGCTGCCGATACAAAAACCGTGGATTTTTGGCAGAGACTGAAATCACTTGCGCTAAGTAAGGCGATCCTGTCGCTGCCGTTTCCGAGTTTAGTGGGGGGGGGGGGGGTAAAGGTGCACTGATGCCTATTGTTTGACTGGATCCAGTCGACGATCGACTCGATCATCTGGCGTACGCGTATGCCGCCATCCCTTGTGGTGTCGATCCTGCTGATCGATTATTAATATAATAATAACGTGGGTGCTCGAGCACAGGGTAGCCTCATTCAGCATCTTTCTCGCTGCCTGCGCAAGCCCCGAAGTGTCTATAATAATGGTTCGTCTCGCAGCGTTAGTCGGCGCTTCAGCAGCAGTTCTCGCCTCCGCCAATGCCTTCACGGTAACCATCACCAACGGATGCTCGATACCCATCGATCTGTACACGCGACTTGCCAGCGTCTACACTGACGAAAGCGAGACCATCGCCCCTGGCGCCTCGGTCGACAAGACCATCGAGAAGGGCTTCGAAGGACACTTCCGCAATGGCTCCAGTGATGCCGCAACGCTCATTGAGTTCGCCACGAAGGGCGACCTCGATCTGGCCTGGTACGACATCGGCATCATTCCGCCCCATCTCGAAGCCGGCTACGAGTACTGCTCGAGCTTGCAGGAGTGCAAGGACCACTCGAAGAGCGGCATTGGCTTCAACACTCCCGTGCAGGTAACCCCCACGTCAAACACCGGCAAGGACACGTGCGAGGAGATTGAGTGCTTGGCTGACGCCTGCGAGGACGCCTACAATTTTCCCAAGGATGACACCAAGACCCACTCGTGCGCGTTCGGCACCGACTTTGTCGTGACCTTCTGTCCGTCGGGTGACGCGTCCCAGACGCAGCAAGCCACATCGGGCTCGGCCTCGACCACGCAGGACGCCACCCAGCAGGATCCAACACAGGAAGAATCCCCGGCTCCTCAGACGACTACGCCCGCCGTATCAGAGGCTCCGGCTACCGATGCCCCAGTACAGGAAGCCTCTATGGCGTCAGACAGCGGTACTGGTAAGGTACACACTCAAGACGACAGTGTGAACAATGAGTCGGAGACGACACCCCCAGACGCGATTCAGGCCGAGACGCCCGCACAAGAGGTGGTTCAGTCGGACACGCCCGTTCCTGAAGTGACCCCGGCGTCTACCCCAGCCGTCACCAAGCCCAAGTTTTGCGTGTAAACAAGCTCCATGTACGTTTTCAACTGAAAGGTTGAGCAATTCTCTGCTGTCCATAGCGTAGGTGACCCTAGAAATACACCACTCGTCGTGTACCTAATACATCACTTTCTCGCCTTTGCCACGTCAAGGTTTAAGCCTATCACAGGGCTCCAAATCTCGGCTTGAACTTGACCGCATTCTTCAATCGGAGGATACGCAACGAAATGGCTCTGAGCACGGCGACCAAGCGCTTAGGACACCTGCTACCGCAGTCCAGCATCCTCTTTGTGTGCGACGTTCAGGAGGTATTTCGTGGGCTCACGTTCCAATTGCCCACGGTCATTCACAGCACCAATACGATGGTCAGCGACAGTAAAAGATCTTCCGCCCCCATATAACAAAGATGGTATAATTTGCGTTTCTCTCTTCCAGGTATCGGCAGCCAAACTTCTGAATCTCCCAGTGGTGGTGACGACTCAGTATGGCTCCCGTCTTGGTAGCACCGTATCCGAGATCTCCAAGAACTTGGAGAATGTGAACGACGTCAAGATCTTCGACAAGATGAAGTTTTCCATGCTTGTGCCTGAGGTGGAACATCACCTGACCTCCAACATGCCACAGCGCAAGTCCGTGCTGCTCTGCGGTATCGAGACGCATGTGTGCGTCCTACAGACGTGCCTCGACCTGCTGGACAAGGGCTACGACGTGCACGTGGTGTCTGACGCCGTGTCCAGCTCCACAAGTTACAACCGCTCCATGGCTCTGGAGCGCATGCGCCAGTCTGGTGCCTACATCACGTCGGTCGAGTCGGCCATCTTCCAGCTGGCAAACGACGCCAGCAATCCCGAGTTTAAAATCATCTCCAAACTCATAAAAGAGCATCTTAAGGTGGGGAACGGATTCGACACGGGTGCCCTCATTTAGGTTATGGCGCGTTGCATAAGAAGGCAACACGAGTATGCGCAAGTACTAGTATCATGTACTTCTATGAAGTATTCGTTTTTCTTTGGTCAACGACTATCCTCAGGTTTGTTTATGGAAAAAATCGAACAAGGTCTTTTTGCCAGTGCCAGGCGCCGTCTTGTGAGCGAGAGTTCGCGCTTTTCTAGCGCTGCTCGTCACAGGTTTCACAGCTGGACGTGGCCTCTTTCTAGACCCAGGCGTACTTATTATTTTCGCACTGGGCCCGTGAACTACTGGAAGCTTTGACGCTTGAACGGACTGCGAGTATTTCGCGACGAGATCTTTCATCGACGCCGCAGTGACCTTGGTCGACTCGACTACTGCTGCTGTACTTGACAGTATGGTTGTTGAATGTGTAGCACTTGATGGGGCCTCCTCGTCTTGTTTAGATAGCGTCACTCGTGTCCAAGTTGCAGACGTCAGCCATTGAGACTCGGTAGATGTTGATGCCACCCGCGTAGTAGCCTTGTAGGCACTCAGCAGTCCGCGGATTGATGCCGCGCGTTCCTGTGCCTGCATGCGCTTCTTGTTTTCAATTTGGTGAGCGATCGCTTCTGGCGACGGCGTGCTCACCTCTTGTTGCGTTATCATTGTACGAAACCCATACTCCACATCACGAGTATCAAGCGACGGTTCTCCAGCGTTGCGCAATGCATCAGCAGCTCTTCGTTTAACTGGAACCCCGTCAGATTGCCACTTCTGTGAGCTCCCTGAACCCTTCGAAAGACTACGAAGCGATCGCGCACATACTTCTCCCTTGTATATTTGCTCTACGATCTCACGTGAGCGGACTTGACCGAGGAAGCTGTTGGTTGAGGTGGCAACAGTGTGCAGATCTTCTCCCTGTTGGGCGATCGATGTGAGATCAACCTCGTCTTCTGATGACACGATCCCCAGGGATTCCTTCGCGCGTTGGAAAATATCAGGGAAGCAGTTATCGTGGCCGTCGTCAACGAGGAACTCACAGCTCCGTTGCTTTGGATTGAAGACGATGTGGTGGTAGAAAACGGTCTCCGCCTTCAAGAACTGCGGCATGAAGTCACGGGGGACTTTAGTGCCAGAGCTTGAGAGTTTGCTCACCAGCCGCTGGACCCGCAAATGAGCAGGTGCGCCGCGGAAGTTAAGGATGTGCTTAACAGCCGTCTGGCAGCAAAATTAACAGTAGCGGGTCAGTTTTCTTAGCCTCTGTAGAGATAAGACGAGCGTGCGAGCGTACAGCAAAGCTAACGTTTGGGAGAGAATCGATGAAATCGCAGCCAGCCAAAACGCACACTTGAACGAACATCCTCGAGGCTTCTTTCTCTCCTGATGTAAGAAAATGAATCTTTCTCAACAAAGCGCTTGCTAGAGAAAGCGTAAAGAGACACAAACTTATTAGTATATGAGCAAAACAAGTTATTCAAATCACACAAGAGAGCGTACACGAAGCCCTCGCTGAGTTGTTGTGTAGGATGGCGCGCGATAGCCTACCAAGACGGAAGGCTCGGGGTTAATAAGATAGTTCCTACTAATACGGACTGTCCGATCATTGCTCTCACCTGAGCAGAGCCATTATCTTCTAATTTGACTAGCACGGGACTGGAGACGTTGGCAGTTAAGCAGTACACCACAACATTCGAGTCTTCCGTCACGCATACTGCGGCTAAACCTTCTTTGCACATTCACGCCCATTCTGATTACACACACACAATCGTCACATACAAGGTCAAGTCGTAGCGGCTTGCTGTGGTTGGTAGACGTGCCTGTGCATCGGCCTCAAATGGCGCCACCACAAATGGGATTCTTGCAGCTCGCAGCGCGTGTATGACTTTAGAAATAATACCCGGGGTGATTGAGACCGACTGCATCCATCAATGCAGCAACAGGTTATCACAAGTGACATAAAATATACTTTCACAAGTTGCATCAACCCACCCTCTGCATGAGCTGGTAGGCTTTGTTGGCTTCATTCTGGCGCTCGTTTCCTTGCAATCTCTTGGAGGCAGCCATAGCTTGCAGTGCGCGTTTGCGGGTTTCCTCCTTGTAGCTCTGTCTTTTCTCCTGCGTCAACGACTAGAACAATAGCTGTGTATGTTAATTCTCTCCACACAAGTCGTCGCTCTGGCAATCAGCACCTTAAGTGGTAACCGCTGACCGTCGAACACGAGGATGACTTTGGCAACGCCGCAGCTGCGTATCATGTCCACTTTGCGCAGCATATACTGAACGTACTTGTCTGTGTCCCTACTCGTCGAGAGCTCGAAAGCACAACCATAGCAGCTACAGGACGATCGCAATCGTTAATGGCTCTCAATAAAGGCGGCTCTGCTGTAACGTACGCCTTGTGCAGCCAGGAAAGTGCATCCACCGCGAGTGTCTGGCCAGCGAACTGCTGCAGATGCGTTCTGTCTACAGCATCGCCGAGCTGCCGGAGGAAGCCGTCAACACCCATCGGCCGCCGATGATCGGCGTGCAGTTCTGGCGGTAATTCAATTCCCGATATTAACGTTAAAATAATCCAACACTTGCGGAGTTTGTCCGAATAGGACAAAAACTGGCCTCTGTGTTGTTGTTTTGGTGCTGCGCAACAGCTTAAGTGCGAAGTGTATCAATGCTTTTGTCCTTTTCACTTGCCTAATGCTCGATTTATACTGTAATAAATAGAGGTCGGTTTATTAAATCGAGGTCTATAAAAAGTACAAATTGATCTAGCTAGACTGGCTAATAAAATCGACCGCTCAGGATCACCAAATCCACATCGATACATGTAAATCGACCCTATTTTCCGTTTTGAAATCTTGTTTGGAGGTGCCACCGGCGCGAGCGAGTCTTCCAGGTCGACGAAGCTCGTGATGCTTGATTGCAGTAGCTGCGCGAAAGCGAAATCCTTCTCCTTCACGCGCTGCACCTTCAGGTGCCACTGCGATAGCAGCACTGCGAACTGGACCGCGCGTCCGAAGAGAGACTTCGACTTATGCACCCACTCTAACGTCGAGAATCGTGTATAGACATGTAGCGTCTTTCCTGCCAGCTGGACGTAACAGATCTTCAACAGCAGAAGTAACGCCAAAACTTCCTTCTCAGCAGGATGGTAGTTCATCTCGGCCTCCTTGAGCACCCGACCGAGGAACCGTACGGGGTGTAACTTGCCTTCATGTTCTTGCATTAGCGTAGTGCTCAACGCCCATTCATTCGCAAAGAGCATGACGTGAACTTCTTTCAGCCGATCGAAGTGCCTGAGGATGGGTGAATGCGAAACACTCGTCTTCAATTTTTCGAAGGAACGACGTGCCACAGAAAGGCCACCTTCAACGGCAAAGTCTTCATCCTTGAGCTGGTACAGCGCCGCACCGTAGACCGCGAAGTCTTGGATAAAGCGGCTGAAGTAATTAAACGCTCCAAGAAACGACTGCATGCCCTTCTTGCTCGTTGGAAACGACAGCTCGGTGATGGCCGCAAGCTCCTTGGGGTCAGCCCTGATGCCTTCTGGCGAAATTTTATGCGACAGAAAGTCCACCTTGGGTTGGCAGAAGATGCTCTTGGTGAAGCTAATGCTGATCCGACACTGTGCAAATCTTGCCAGCAATCGGTCCAGCGTCGCCAGGCAGCTG